GAAGCAGGAAGCAGGAGAATTGCTGGAACCCAGGAGACAGAGATTGCAATGAGCCAAGATCACACCACTGCACTACATTCCGGGTGACACAGGAAGACTCTGTCTAAAAAAAAAAACATATTTATATATGCTCCCAACACTGGAACTTCTAAATATATAAAGCAAATATGGACAGAACTGTAGGGAGAAGTAGATAGGAATACAATAATAGAAAACTTTAATATCCTACTTGAAACAACAGACAGATTATTCAAACAAATCTTAAAAAAAAAAGTGTGCTTGTGTAACACTATACACTAAATAGATATAAACATAACATTTCACCTAACAGTATAAGAATACACATTTACCTCAAAAATACACAAAATATTCTCCAGGAGAGATTATGTATTAAACAAAAAATTAAAACAAGCTTTTCAAATTTAAGAAGGTTAAAATTATGTCAAGCTTTTATTCCGACTCTAATGGTATAAAACTAGAAACCAATAGCAAGAAGAAAATTGGAAAACTCACAAATATGTGGATATTAAACAACATGCTCATAAACAACCAATGGGGGTCAAAGAAGAAATCAAAAGGGAAATAGGAAAGAATCCCAACACAAATAAAATTGAGCACACAAGGATCCAAAACTTCTGGGATACAACAAAAGCAGTTCTAAGACAGAAGTTTATAATAATAAACTCCTACACTAATTTTAAAAAATACATTTAAATAAACAACCTAACTTTAACTCCCAAAAACCCTGAACAAGAAGACCAAAATAATTCCAATGTTAGCTTAATTATGAAAATGTTAAGAATTAGAGAAAAAAGAAAGTAAACAGAGACTAGAAAGATAATAGAAATTGTTTTTTTAATTGAGCTGAGTTTTTTTTAAAAAACAAAATTGACAAACTTTTTGGCTATATTAATCCAGGGAACAAAAAGAGAGAGGACTTTAAAAAAGTTATAAATAAAAAATTAAGTTATTTCAACAGATCCCACAGAAATACAAAAAATAGTAAGAGACTACTATGAGCAATTATATGACAACAAATTTGATAACTCAAGAAATAATTATTAGAAACAAACCCACCAAGATTAAATTATAAAGAAATAGAAATACTGAATAGATCAATAATGAGGAAGGAGATCGAAGCAGTAACCAACTATCTCCAATTTTTAAAAACCCCATGACCAAATGACTGCATGGGTGAACTGCATCACACATTTAAGGGAGAACTAATGTCAGTCCTTCTCAAACTCTTCCAAAAATAGAAGAGAAAAAACACTTACAAACTCACTTGAGGTGGCTATTAGTACCCTCATACTGAAGCCAGTTAAGGACACTACAAGAAAAGAAAATTATAAGCAAATATCCCTTTGAAGATACAGAAAAAGTTCTCAACAAAATACTAGACACTGAATTCAACAACATATTAAAAGGATCATACACTATGATCAAGTGGGACTCATCCCCAGGATGCAAGAATGTTTCAACATACACAATCATCATTAAAAATAATATACTACAATAACAAAATGACTAATGAAAATTATATAATTATTTCAAAAAAATTATTAAAAGCATTTGACAAAACTTAATACACTTCTATGATAAAAACTCCCAACAATGTACATATAAAAGCATGCACTATAACACAATAAAGGCCATATATATTAAGGCCTCAGATGCCATTATACTCAAGAGAGAAATGCAACAAATTATTCCTCTAGTATCAGAAAGAAGACAAGCATATCAAATCTCACCACTTTTGTTCAACATAGTACCAAGAAGTCAAGCTAGAGCAATCAGGTAAAAAGAAGAAAATAAAGGCATTCAAATAAAAAATGAAATAGTACCACATTTTCTTTGTTCCGTCTATCACTGATAGGCATTTGGGTTGATTCCATGTCTTTGCTATTGTGAATAGTCCTAAATGAACATACACATGCATGTATCTTTATAATAGAATCATTTATATTCCTTTGGGTATGTACCCAGTAATGGGATCACTGGGTCAAATGTTATTTCTGATTCTAGGTCTTTGAGGAATAGCTACACTCTCTTCCACAATGGTTGAATTTATTTACACTCCCATCAACAGTGTAAAAGCATTCCTATTTCTCCACAGCCTCACCAACACCTGCTGTTTCTTGACTTCTTAATAACGCCATTTTGACTGGCATGAGATGTTATCTCATTGCAGTTTTGATTTGCATTTCACTAATAATCACTGATGTTGAACTGTTTTTTCATGTGTGTTGGCCATATAAATGTCGTCTTCTGAAAAGTGTCTCTCCATGTTCTTCGCCCACTTTTTAATGAGGTTGTTTGTTTCCTATAAATTTAAGTTCCTGGTAGATTCTGGATATCAGACCTTTATCAGATGGAGAGATTGCAAAAATTTTCTCCCCTTCTCTAGGTTGTTTGTTCATCCTGATGATAGTTTCTGTTGCTGTGCAAAAGCACTTTAGTTTATTTAGATCTCATTTGTCAATTTTTGCTTCAGTTGCAATTGCTTTATACACTATGAAATACGATGCAGCCATAAAAAGGAACAAGATCATGTTCTTTGCAGGAACATGGATGGAGCTGAAAGCCATTATCTTCAGCAAACTAATATGCAGGAACACAAAACCAAACACTGCATGTTCTCACTTATAATTGGGAGATGAACAATAAGAACACATGGACACAGGAAGGGGAACCACATACACTGGGGCCTGTTAGAGGGGTGGAGGAAGGGAGAGTTCCCATATAAATTGGGGGCTCCCATAACCTCCTTCTCAAGTTCAATAACTTGATACAACTATTCACAGAACTCAGCAAAATACTATACTTGCATTTACCAGTTTATTATAAAAGGTACAAATCAAGAAGAGCCAAATGAAAAAAAAGTACAAGGCAAGGAAAAGTGGTGGGAGAAGATGGGGTGGGTAGATAACAGCTGTGATTAAAGAAATCCCCCATCGGCCGGGCGCGGTGGCTCAAGCCTGTAATCCCAGCACTTTGGGAGGCCGAGACGGGTGGATCACGAGGTCAGGAGATCGAGACCATCCTGGCTAACACGGTGACACCCCGTCTCTACTAAAAATACAAAAAACTAGCCGGGCGAGGTGGCGGGCGCCTGTAGTCCCAGCTACTCCGGAGGCTGAGGCAGGAGAATGGCGTAAACCCGGGAGGCGGAGCTTGCAGTGAGCTGAGATACGGCCACTGCACTCCAGTCCGGGCTACAGAGCAAGACTCCGTCTCAAAAAAAAAAAAAAGAAAAGAAATCCCCCATCATTTGTGTTTTTCAAGAGCATCTTACTGCTAAGAAACACCCTTCCTGTTTTTGATATCCCAAAGCCAGAGACTCTCTAAATTCCCATTTATCTTATTTTATTTTATTTTGTCTCATAAACAAATAAGTTTGTCTCTAGTGGACAGAACAAAATACTTGTGAACCAAACTTTTCTTAAGTTTCTTTCCTTCCCCAGACTCCAAACTTCGACCCAACCTTAAAACCCCTCCTTATGTCCCTCTTAAGGACAGGCTGACTTCTAGGTAAAACATTCTCTGATCTAGGATCTGATTTCACCATGTTTTATCCCGTCCTCCTTGTCCCACATTTTTTTTCTGACCTTCTAGTAGTTTGCTCCTCCTTATGAAAGAAAGCCCTTTTCTGCCTAACGTTAGTTTAAAACTAATGCCCAGTGTTTAAAGAAAACAGCAAAATCACTCAAACACCGTGTTTATAGAATATTGTAAGGAAATAGTAAGGCACTTAAATTTTATACTTCAACAGGAAAAGCTGAAGTCTCTATCTCTTTCAGACATTAAACATGTCACTTACATACTTTAATGATAAATAGTTTAATAAACCATATGTGAACATTTCCAGAAGGTGCCAAGTTCTATCTCATAAAATTTAACATTAAACTTGGACATTTAGACAACAGAATACAGAACAGAGATATCCACTGTTACAAATTTTAGACCCTGCAAAAAAGGGGAGCTGATGTTTTGACAAATATATGCACTTCATCAATTAATCTTTCATATTTTCTTGTGGAAATGTATTCACTTTCTATAGCCATAATGAAAAAGAGATTTTTCCTATTTCTTTTCCCTTGTAGCATTCCCAAAGCAATGCCTTGGAATTCTATTTGAAATCACCACCCAAAAAGAACAGAAAGAAATTTACTTACTAAAATCACTCTGATGAAGATAAAGAAACATTTTTAACAAATAAAACATATGACTAGATTTTTCTGAAATTCACCCTTCATGGTCTTTGACTTTATAAAAAAATTTTCAGCTCTACTGATGAAACGTAATTCACAGTTATTGAAAAATTTAAGTGGAAATAAGTGAAAAAGTCTTTCCAAGGTGACAAACTCAGGGAGTGGCAGTGCTGATGGGAACACAAACATGTCAGACTTAACTGTCAAGTCAGACCATGGTAACCCTCAAAACATTCTCCCATCCCCATGCTGCCCATTAAATTACTCAATGTCCTTCTTCCCAGGAGGCACTGGACAATGTACTCCTGCTTGAACCTGGGAGGTGGAGGTTGCAGTGAGCCAAGATCACGCCACACCACTCCAGCCTGGGTGACAGAGTGAGACTTCAACTCAAAAAAAAAAAAAAAAAAAAAAAAAAATTTTTTTAACAGCAGACACTGGGGACCCCACTGGCCGCAGCTCCTCCCACGCACCTACCGAGTCGGGATTCTGCTCTGATAACTCGCCTGTCATCCCTGAACAATCTGGGAGAGAGAAGGGGATGCGGGTGCAGCGCTGCCCACGGAGCTTCAGGCAGGTCGCGGCGCGGGAAGGGGACGCTAAGGGTCAAAGTTCGCTGACCCAGACTCCATCTTGCGCCCCCACCCACCCTCGGAAGGGGCTGAGGGCGGAGCTGCGCCAGCTGGGAATCAGGTCGGCGGAGCCGGGAGCTGACCGTGGGGAGGCCGGTTCCGCCGGTTTCAACCAGCCCACTCTCCCCTCTTGGGATGCCCAACCCCGCATACTCACCATTTCCCAGTTTCCAGGATGTCCTGGCGTCTTAGCTATGCATCTTCCAGTACCTGCAGATCTCACGGCAACAAAAGCTGTGACAAAGTCACCGAGGGCTCCCGAGGGGCAACACGCGGAAGAGTAGAGATGGATCCCAGGCTCCGGCCCGAGCCAGAGACAAAGGCCCAGCCAAACGCCGGAAGCCACGCCCTCCTCCCCAACTGTGTCCCTGGACGGTTCCTACAATGGCGCCACAGATTGAATAAGGCTCCAGGACCCTCCCCTACACCCACCGTCCCCAGCATTAGTGCGCTTTATGGACAGGGAAACAGGCCCCTGTAGGCTGAGTCACACGCCCTGAGTATCACAGCTAATTAAGAAGTGAGCTGAGCCTTGAAATGCACTTGCTCTTTCCCTTACCTGGGTCTGTTTTTATAATGCATCTTATTCGCTATTTAAAAGTAGAAAGTAGAACAACTGGACACCTTTTTTAACAACTCTCTAATCATTTGGATAATGCAGGAAAGACCCCTGTCCCATCCCTGAGCTCCTCTCTCAGCATGCTGTACCACACTGCTGACCACAACGTGGGATGGCTATTAAAAATGGAGGGGCAGCGGGGGCTGGGAACGGATAAGCAGGAATTATGTTGCCCAAATGTGCCTTTTTTTTTTTTTTTTTTTTTTTTTTTTTCTCCGCTGCAGGCTGGAGTCAGTGGATCTTCAATAATTCCGCTTCCACAAGCTTGATTCAGCATTCTCTGCAGCCTGCGACGGCTGAGATTTGCGTGGTGTACTACTGCAGCGGCTCGCTTTTGCTGTTTTTGAGCTAAGATGGTTTGCCATGGCCAGGCTGTTTGAACTCCTGACTCAAGTGTCCGCCTCCCTCAGCCTACCCAAAGTGCTAAGAAACTTGACCACATAAAATGGAGGGGTCAATAAATACCCAATTCTTATCTCAGGGGTCCTTCTGTCAAGGTGTAACAAAGAAAGTGACCCTAGTAAAATCCATAGCTACTTATAAAATTAATGGTTCTTCAAATGACAACAAACTACTCTTCATGGCGCAAAGTAAGCATATGCAACACTTCTTATTCCTAGATTCCTGAATCACAGGATTGGAATACTGACACATCACTTGATCATTCTCTATGTTCTGGAATGGCTATATTTAAGGGATGAAATATGCCTGCTGCTTGTTAAGTTAGAATGCTACCTTCCCTAATCTTTAAGAGTTAAAGGGTTTCATACTTCTCAAAAGTTATAATTAGTTTGAAATATTTCTAAATGATACCCTCTGATAACAACAGAAGTCTAGCATTTCTTATTTTATTTTTTTGAGACAGAGTCTCACTGTTACCCAGGCTGGAGTGCAGTGGCTGGATCTCGGCTCATTCCAACCTCCGCCTCCCAGGTTCAAGCGATTCTCCTACCTCAGCCTCCTGAGTAGCTGGGATTACAGGTGCCTGCCACCACCCCCGGCTAACTTTTTTGTATTTTTAGTAGAGACAGGGTTTTGCCATGTTGGCCAGGCTGGTTTTGAACTCCTGACTTCAAGTGATCCGCCTGCCTCAGCCTCCCAAAGTGCTGGGATTACAGGCGTGAGCCACCACGCCCAGGCAATATGCTCATCTTAGAAAGGCTAAGATATATTCACACACACACATACACACACACACGCACATATATATACACACACACCTATATATGTGGACAAGGCTAGAGGAAAGTATATTTAGTACAACACAACCATGAGGCTGCAAATCAAATTGGTGGCAGAGAGCATACATGAAGCTTCAATGGCCAAGACACTGATGGCTATCCTTGGGTGTCCCTTAAGACTTTGAGGTGAAGGACATTTTTTTTCTAGTTGGCTCCGGGAAAAATAACAGACATTAGAATTGGAATTTGTTGTTGTTGTTGTTGCTTTTAGAATTCCTAAAACATGAAGGACTCGCTAAACACTCCAAAAGGCACTGAACTATATATATGACCGAGGACCTGCCTCTTCTGCAGAGGGATGGCTGAGCAGCAGCCACTAGCAGTAATGAGCCTTAGACTCCCCCTTTCATAGGGACAGGCCACCTCCACACACTCCCTCTGACTTCATAGGCTCTGTCCCTCAGGTTCACCTGGGGGACTGCCTTCCTCCCATCTCATTAGCTCTCTAAGAGAGTCCAGGTTGGTCTAAAACCTACTCTAGGATGGCAAGTTTTAGACACTCCTCTATTCTCCCAGCAGTGTGACTTCTAGAGAGAGCTGCCCAATCCCCTTACCTCAACTGATGTGACAAGGACAGGTACCCAGCTAGTTAGATGTTCAGGGACCTCACAGGTCCAACATGCCCAGGGTTTAACCCCACAGCCTAGCACCCCTCCCCGACCTGGCCTTTACTCCAGCCTTTTTCCTTTTGTCACCAATGACAGGTTCACCTGTTCCACACCCTCATGAGTCTAGTAACTGGAAGGTAGGTAAACCCCAGCTGAGTGCCTGTGACTCCACCCTCTTGCTTTCCACTCAAGTGGCATTATAAGAATAACCTTAAATTTGATCTAATTTATACATATTCCTCTCTTAGTAACATTTCTAATAACAGCACTCACAATCAAATCCAGTTTGATTACGAGATTGGGTTACAGACCACCCAGGTGAAACTGGAGCAGCAGGTTTTAAAAACTTTATTCTAATGTGATATAAAGATGTGATGGTTTAAAAACAAGAAAAATGTATTTATCAGTTGTGGGGATGCTACACTTGCTAGCTTGCACCCATTCTTCTTGAAACAAGGTATCTGGACAGACCATACCCATAAGTAGCTCTTTGCAATACACCCGGCAGAAGCCCCAGTCAGACACAGCTCCCTTAGGCTCACAGGGTGGCAACTTCCTCCTTCATGTGGGCTCTGACAGCAGGCAAGGGAAGGAGCACAGGCAGCAGGGGACAGGGAGCAGCCTGGGGCTGTTGGGATTCCCAATCACCATAGAGCTAGTCTTTGTAGAAAGTGCTGTGTGGCAATGACCAGGTAGAGAGCTGGGCTCCACAGAGAGGTGAAAACCACTCCTGTATCTTTAACTTCCCCCCAGGATCCATGATTCTGCCCTGGTTCCCCTAAAGCCCCTCACCCATCCTAACTCCACGACGTGTTAGGCAGTTGGGGTTAAAACAGGAGAAAAAGACTTTCAGATTGTAGCCTCCAAGTATTCCCATCTGGGGATTAGGGAGTAGGGAGGCAAGTGAGGGCCTATGGTTGTGCCTTTTCCTGTGCCTGAGGGCAGGCAGGCCAGTGCTGGGCACCTGGATGTCTGGGGGACCACCACTGCTGACTCCCTCTCCCTCACCCGGAGCTATAAGCAGGCCAGGTCAGTCACAATTAATAAAATCACTGCAGCTCTCATCCTGCCACAAAACTAAAGTGCACCCCAACCCCCAGCCCTACCACAGATCTCTGACTTCCCATCACAGGACACAGGAAGCCCTCCACCTTTTTTACCTAAAGCCTAGACTTTAAGCCAGGTTGGGTCTAGGGCTAGTGGCAGCAAAAGCAGCAGCCATAATGTCAAACATACAAATGACCTGAGAAATCTCATCTGCATGTCCTTCACTCAGAACTGACCTGGAGTTGTGTACAAGTTAAGAAGGACAGATCACACCATGGGCATGGACACATTCCACACTTGCTGGGGAAGATGAGATACCTGAGAGGCACCTGTTTCCTGGCTGCAAGCTAATCTCCACATAACACGATTCATGTGTCTTCATTTTAGGCCCCTGCATTGTATATTCTTTGAGCCAGTGCAAACACATTTTGGGGGGGGTCATTATTCAATGCAGCACCAACCCCCACTTGTTCTGGAGGTCAGTCAGGAAGGATCTGGTCAGTTCCTAATCCCCCAGGACAAAGGTGCTGCCCCCTTTCCAGCACTAACATCCAGCAGCGCCATCTCGGGATAATTTTTTCACACAAGAGCAGCATGAGGTAGCAAGCATGGTGTGACAGGCTCAGGGCCATGGACAGCTGGCTGCTGGTGAAGCAGCACAGGACGGGTGCATCTGTGGTAGGGCCATGACAAGCCAAGGCAGCCACAGCCCCTGTCCCCAGGCAGCCCCAGCCACAGATGGCATTCAGATCTTCCTGGATGGTATTGGGGTGCTTGAGGCCCATCACTAGCCTGCTCATTAGCACTGCCTTGTGTTGGTTACACAGGGCCTGGGAGAGGGAGTGGGGTTGTAGATCTAGGATGGGCATGACCTCACACCCAGAGTTCAACTGGCTGCAGGGCAGCAAGCAAGCCCAAGCAGCACGGTTCTAGACACTGAGCCTTGTCACCTCTGGCTGCACTTCCTATGTATACTTTGCACAAAGGCAGCAAAAGAAGGTCAACATTAGCGTTCGTGAGATGGAAGTCTATGCCCTCACTGAGACGTTTTAAAAATATTGTTTTCTTTTTCCTTTTCTTTTCTTTTTTTTTTTTTTTTGAGACAGAGTTTCACTCTTCTTGCCTAGGCTGGAGTGCAATGGCGTGATCTCGGCTCACTGCAACCTCCGCCTACCGGGTTCAAGCGATTCTCCTGCCTCAGCCTCAGAGTAGCTGGGATTACAGGCATGCACCACCACGCCCGGCTACTTTTTGTATTTTTTTAGTAGAGACGGGTTTCTCCATGTTGTTCAGGCTGGTCTCGAACTCCTGACCTCAGTTGATCCGCCCACCTCAGCCTCCCAAAATGCCGGGATTACAGGCATGAGTCACCACGCACAGCCAAAAATGTTGCCTTAAGCCCTCTTCCTTCTAATAAAATCTGTACAAATACATACAAGCTTGAAACTACTGTAAATGAAATCTTGGATTTTTTTAAACCCATAAATAAACACCAAACAGAGACGCTGTTTGATTGAGGAGAGAGTGGGAGCCTAAACCAGCTGACCCCCAAACAGCCTTGCCAAGCCCCAGGCCAGGCAGTCTGAACCCTACAAGGCCACGTGATGGTTACAGAGGATGACAGCTCCCACAAGTACTTGTCAGGCACTGTGCTAACTTCTCATTCTAGCTAGACTCTCAGAATGCCTCCTTACCAATATCCTGTGAGGGGAGGCCCTGCCTCACTGGAGCACAAGAGGTTCCTGAGCTCTCCCAAGGAAATGGTTATCAAAGGGTGGAGCTGGGGGATGCCCAGACAGAACAAGAGTCTCCCCGGGGTCTCCCTAGACTCCCTCCGCTTCTCCACATGGG